TAATAAAATGGGAAATTTAGAGCGGGCATGGGGAGTTCTCATTTGGGGTGTGTTCAGTGTCAGTAAACTATTATCGAACATCTCCGATAGGTATATAGTGCTTTGGTACTTGACGCCTTCTGGGGATTTTTAGATGTTTTGACCTTAAATAAATTCCTGTTCCTGAACACCAACTAGCACCAGGCAGTTAGACACTGAATGTAGCAGTTGAGGGGTTAGGCTGTAGTGGCAGGAACAGAAGAACAAGTAAGCAGGAACCCTTTATCAGGGACAGTTAAGTCCTTCACATAAGGAACGTGGAGAGCCTGAGGTTCGACAACAGTGGGGGAGTTTGTAGTTAGGACAGGGGTGGAGTAAGGGTGGAATTTAGGTAGTCAGAAAAGAGCTGAGTGTGACCAAAGCTGCCAGGTGACAGACAGGAAGGAGCCAGTCACACGAAGGTCCAGGGGAGGGATGTTCCGGACAGAGAGAACAGCGGGTCACATCTGCTCATCACGGTACTCCAGCATCTTGGAGTGGCCAGGAAGCAGCAAGTGGGTAACCGTCCTTAGAATCACTTTTACTATCGTTGTGTATAGAAAGGAGAACGTGCATGATGAGGGCCTGGCACATGCAGATGGTCACTAAACAGTGTTCTTGTTCTTCCCTAAGTAAAGTAAAGCTTATGGTACTTTTTTGAAGAGCTGCATAACTACATTTAAAATTTTTCTGCTGTTAATTTAAACATAAATGTTTTTCTTTCTACTTTGGTACTTTATTCAACTATTTTTCCTATCAATAGAAGTTTTATCAAATAATCATTAGATTCTGCTAAGCCTTTCTTTACTGAAATGTAGCAGTTTCCACAGTGTTCTGGTAGTACTCAACATGACAGACTCCAAGGCTTCTTTTCGTGCCAAGTATGTTATTTTAATATTAAAAACAATATCTGTCCTAAGAAACATTTTAAATTTATAGCACGTATACTTATTGAAGAACATGTTTATTTACTTTTAATTTTATTTTTTATTGAAGTGTAGTCAGTTTATAATGTTAGTTTCAAGTGTACTGCAAAGCAATTCAGTTCTACATATAAAAATAGGTATTTTTGTAAGTGTCCTCTTCTTTTGTCGAGGAATGCAAAATGGAATTAGGTGTTTTGAAGTTAATTCTTTGTTGAAATCTGCACATAGGTCAGTATTTGGTCTATGAAAATATTTGCTCTGGCTTTCCATGCTCAGTTTACAGAGTCAAAAGCCAACTGAAGATAAAAGATAGACTTGATCGAGAGAGTGTATATGAAATTTTCTATTTAAATGTTTGGGTTTCCAGGATATGCTTATTTTGTTTTTAAGTCTAATTGCTTTTAAAGTAGGAAATTAAAAAATAATAATAAGGTAGGAAACACAGGTATTTTCTTAGAAAGGGATCAGGAAATCTTGCATCTCATTATTAATATTAATTTTAACAGAGTACCTCCAAGATTGAACTACCGAACCATGTTGATCATTCGTCTGGAGCTGCAGGTCTAAGAGAAAAAAATACGTTAAATGGACAAATGGAAAGTAAGCACTGTATTTTATAAAACAGTCATTTAACAGAATGTTGATTTAAAACAAGGATTTGGATCTATTCTCTCAGCTAAAGAAAATCACCTGTTGAACGTATAGTGAGAAAAAAGAGGAGGAAAGGAAGTAAATTGTATATCTTACCAGGTGTCAGCAAGAGATTAAGCTAGAATGCTGTTTAAGGAGCTCAGTTGTTAGCTTTCTTTCAAGATGCTCTGTGACCTGAGGACAGTCAGGAAATCAGGAGGAGGGAAAGAGGGAGTGAAGAATGAAAGAGGTAGAGAGGAGGGGAGTAAATGAAGGAAAAGGAGGGGGGTCCCTGGCAGGAGGTGGTAATGAATGTAGAACAGTTCTTTAGAAGAAGGAAGAGGAGTGTTTGAAATGAGATGGGCATGAAGTGAGCTTCTTCCAGCACCAAAGCTTGTCCGGGAAGCACAGCAGAATGTCCTACTTCCCCGTCCCCTGATCGTTAGGAAGGCAGTGAGG